ATACGTGAAGTTATATGGTACCTCTTTTAAAGTCCATCCATGTTACCTGTCACAAACGGCAAGATTTCCTTCTATTTTTTTGGCTGAATTATATTTCATTGTATATATATACTACATTTTCTTTATCCATTTATCTATCAATAGACATTTAGTTTCTTCCCCTTAGCTACTGTAAATAATGCTGCAGTGAATATGAGGGTACATATATTTTTGAATTAGTGTTTTTGTTTTCTTCAGATAAGTACCAGAAGTGGAATTGCTAAATCATATGGTAGTTCTATTTTTAATTTTTAAAAATATTTTATTTATTTGAGAGAGAGATCACAGGGAGAGGGAGAAGGAGAACCAGACTTGCTGCTAAATGGAGAGCCAGATGCAGGGCTCAGTCTCAGGACCTTGAGATCATGACCTAAGCCAAAGGCACTTAACTGATTGAGCCACCCAAGCACCCCAATTTTTAATTATTTTTAAGGAAAGCCCATAAAGTTTCTAATAGCGATCGAACTAATTTACATTCACACAAATAGTATATGAGAGTTCTCTTAACTCCACATCCTTGCAAACATGTATTTCTTGTCTTTTTGGTAATAGCTATCCTAACATGCGTGAGGTGATGATATCTCACTGTGGTTTTGATTTGCATTTCCCTGATGGTTAATGATGTTGAGTACCTAGTTATGTACCTGTTGGCCATCTTTACGCCTTCTTTGGGCAAATGTATATTGAAGTCCTCTGCTCATTTTAATTGGATTATTTGGGTTTTTGCTATTGAGTTGTATACCATTACCTTGCATTTTTATAGCACTTTATTGTTTACAAACAACTTTAGTTATATCATTTAATCATAAAATAGCAGGTGTCCAGTAAGTACTTTTGGATTACTGAATGAATTAAGCAGCTGTGTATAAGCTACAATTGGATTGTAATTAAATGCAGATGGCACGATAAAAATATTAAAATAACTATTCAAGTTCAACATCTTTCATTTGCTAAATTACATCTCCCAGGCTACTAACAATTCCTTGATATCTTTATAGGGTTGATCCGCCTCACTAGAATAAGAATTTGATATCTAGAATTTTCCCTCCCCCTGGTTCATCAGGCAACATGACTAAACATATAATCCTAAACAAGTTTTCTTTAAACATCTAAAATTTTACCTCATTGGGATCCCTGGGTGGCGCAGCGGTTTAGCGCCTGCCTTTGGCCCAGGGCGCGATCCTGGAGACCCGGGATCGAATCCCACATCAGGCTCCCGGTGCATGGAGCCTGCTTCTCCCTCTGCCTGTGTCTCTGCCTCTCTCTCTCTCTCTCTCTCTCTGTGTGTGTGTGACTATCATAAATAAATAAAAATAAAATAAATAAAATTTTACCTCATTGAAATATTATTTTTACAACTCCACTAATTGTAGTAACCTTCTGACAGAAGTTATTAAAATGGTTTTATTAAAATGTTTTTATTACCCACATTGAATCCTTTTGAGACCTGTTTTAAAGTATATTCTTTAAAAAAAAAAAGATTTTATTATTCATGAAATACACAGAAAGCTAGGCAGACGGAGGCAGAGGGAGAAGCAGGCCCACAGGAAGCCCGATGTGGGATTTGATCCCGAGACCCCAGAATCACACCCCAAGCCAAAGGCAGAGGCCCAACCATTGGGCCACCCAGGTGTCCCTTAAAGTATATTCTAACCATCAGATATTTTTGCTAAGATTTTAGGGAGCTACCAGAAGAAAATGCTCAAATATTAAATCTAATAATGCTCCATGTCCACTACAGAAGAATATGTACTTTGTTGCTTTAAGATGGAATGCTCTGTGTGTGAAGTCCATCTGGCCCAGTGTGTCATTCAAAGCCCTTGATGATCTTCTGCTTAGATGATCTGTCCATTGCTGTGACTAGGGTGTTGAAGCCCCCTACTGTTATTCTTTTTCTTTAATTTGGTCATTAATTGGTTTATATAATTGGCTGCTCCCAAGATAGGAGCATAAATATTTATACTTGTTAGATCTTCTTGTTGGATAGACCACTTAAGTGTGATGTAGTGTCTCTCTTCATCTCTTACTAGTCTGGTTTAAAATCTAATTTGTCTGATACGAAGATTGCTACCTCACCTTTCTTTTGAGGTCTATAGTATGATAAATGGTCCTCTAACCCCTCACTTTCAGTCCGCAAGCGTCTTTGGGTCAAAAACGAGTCTCCTATAGATAGCATGGAGGAGTCCTGCTTTTTTACCCAATATGACACCCTGTGACTTTTGATTAGAGCATTTAGCCTATTTACATTCAGAGTAACTATTGAAAGATATGAATTTGTGGTATTACTTGTAAAGTTCCTGTTTCTGTAGATTGTTTCTTTCTGGTCTGTTACTCTTTCTTGGTCTATGTAAGCTCTCTTTGCTTACTGAATCCCCCCTAATATTTCTTGCAGGGCTGGCTTAGCGGTCACATATTCTTTCAGTTTCTGTCCATCCTGGAAGCTCTACCTGTCCTTTTATTCTGAATGACTGCCTTGCTGAATAAAGTATTCTTGGTGGCAAGTTTTTCTTTTAATACCCTGAATATATCATACCACTTTCTGGTCTGCCAGGTCTCTCTGGATAGGTCTGATGCCAAGGATCTCCTTATCTCTGAAGTTTGCAAGCTTCACTATTGTATGTTGAGGTATTGATCTACTTTTGATTTGGGGAGGGGCCTCTAACTCTTATTAAACTCCTGTTTCCTTCCCCAGATTCAGTAAATTCTCAGCTATGACTTACTCAAATATATCTTCTGTCCCTTTCTTCTCCCTCATGGACTCCAATATTCTAGCATTTTTTTCATTTTATGGCATCATGGATTTCTCAAAGTCTCCCCTCATGGTCCATTAATATTTTTTCAACTTCCATCAACTTGTCTTGTATATTACGCTCTTCTGCCTTATTTACCCTAGCTGTTAGAGCAACCAATTTAGACTGCATCTCACAGCATTTTTAATTTTGGCCTGATTAGATCTCATTTCTGTACTGAAATTCTCTAGTGTCTTTCATGTTTTTTTCACGTCCAGATAGTAACTTTATAATTGTTATCCTGAATTCCAGCTCTGACATTTCACTTACATCCATATGGATTAGATCTGTGGTAGAGTATTAGCTCCGGTTCTTTCTTTTGTTGTTAAATCCTCCTTCTAATCCAGGGAAGAATAGATGAACAAGTGAACAAAATAAAAAAATATAAACCGCGACCCAAGCAAAACACACTAGACAAATCCAAAGTCAGAAACCAAAAACGGAAAAGAGAAGAAAAAAAAATGGGGGAGGGGAAGAGAATATAATCTCACAAGGTAGAAAAAACAAGGTGACCTACCAGGTCGTGAGTGTATTTTGGCCTGTTTTAGAAGACACCAAGCCCCAAAATAATAAAGAAAGCAAAAAAATATATATATATATATACACACACACACAGAAATAAAACAGAATAGAGTGAAAGGAAGCCAAAAATGAGTAATATACCCATAAAATATAAGAAATGGAAGTTAAAAAAAAGACCAAAATCAAAGAGTTGATAAAACGAGAACTACATGAAAAGGGAAAAAAGAAAAAAAAGAAATGGAAAATTTTAAACTGAAAGACAAGCAAATCATATTTTCCTTTAGCGCTGGAGTTTTGCAGTTCCCTGAGGTCCATAAACTTGTTCACCCGTTCTTCCAGCTGGTCTTCTGGAGGAAGACCTTGCTATGCTGATTCTCCGGTGTCTTTGCCTGGGTGGAGTTGTACCACCCCTCATCAGGGGGCTGTGCACAGTGTAAGCTCTGGGTGCTCTCTGTGGCCTTTGTTCTGTGCCTTCTGTGCCTCTTTAGGGGACCAAAACAAAAATGGTGCACCCCAGTTTCCAGCCCCAGAGCCAAAAGATCGTAGGCCCCTCTCTTCTGTAAACACTTCCCCTTAGGGACAAATGGCCTTCAGGTCTGTGTGTGCCAAGCTCTGTAGACTCCTATGGTGCACACCACACCAATCCTCCTTGGGGAAGGAGGAGGGTCCCCTCCCCCATCTCTGCACTTTGCAGAGCCTGTACCAGAGAACAGTCTCCAGGTTGTGAGTGCACCCACTCTGCCCCTCCTGGGAGAAGGCAGAGCATTGCTCTACACTGTCCTTTACAGGGCCCCTATGTGGAGAAAGGTCACTTGATTGGGCTGCAGCTCAGAGTTTATAGTGAACCAAGCTAAGTGCTCCCTCCCAGGCACACTGACCATAGCCACTTTCTCCATCCACTCCAATGCTTGCAACTCTACCAGCTTAGGCACCTCCATTCTTTGTGACTCCAGGGATCCTGAGACCACACTATCCCAAGCAGGATTCTGTCCCATTTCATCACCTGAGCACCTTTCAGGCAGGGATGTCTCAGACTGCAGAATTCTTGGGTTCCAATTTTGTGCTCCAGGGCTGTGTCACTTTCCAATAGCCAGCTTAAGGAGGCTCCCTCTCCCCATGTTTATCTTCTGAAATATCACTTCTGATTCACTTCTCCATACCTCCTATCTTGCAGAAAGTGATCACTTTTTTACTTGTAGAGTTCCAGCTATTCCTTTCTTACATCTCACTTTGAATTCATGGGTGTTCAGAATGATTTGATAGTCATCTAGCTAAATTCAAGGGACCAGATGAAATGTTAGCTACTCTTCCACCATCTTGCCTCTTCCTCCCAGTCTGTACTATTTTGTTACAAAGTCCTAGAAAAGTAATACAGATGTACTATTCCTGTAAATCACAATTCTCTATTACTGGGTTATTTTGTTGGGGAGTTAAAAATAACATTCAGAAAAGTTTTTTAAATGAATTAACATATTAATCAAATCTCTTCTAAAAAAGAAATGTCCTATATTTCATTGGGAGAGCAGTGATTCTCATGTTATTAAAATACTATGAGTATGGTCATCACTACAGGCTATGTATATATTTGTAAAAAAAAAATCAGAAGACACATGGGAGTTTGAAATGTTTATCAGATAAAAGGACACAAAACTGAATCAATTTTTTATTTTAAAATATCACAATTAATGTCTCAATTGTACAAACTTTTTTATATGTGTGTATACACACACACACACACACATATATATATACACACATGTATTTAAACTTTGCTTCATCTTTCATCTTTTTATTTGAGTAAAAAGAAGAACACTTTCCTCATTTAGGAGATTTTTGATGTTGTAATAATTACCTACAAGTAAAGCGGTAAGAAAAAAAAAACAAAATTATTTCCATAGAAATCATTCCCTTTTGATTAAATATTTAGGCATCAATAGGGCAGTTATGGTATATAGTACCAATTTTTTTTAAATCAGTTCATCTAACCTAAAGTAAATCTTATTTAATTTCATGAAATAAAAATCCAAGAGTTCACCATCACCTGTGATGAGGATAAGGTTTGAAAGAAATGAAAGTCTTACATCATTCTGATAATGAACGCAAAGATGAATTAGACGAGGATGAAGCAAGAGAAAATTTCTCTCTGACCCAGCTTTATAGGTCTTTAGGTCTTGAAAATTAGGTCTCTGAAACTGTGTGGATTCCCCTAAACCAGACATATGCGCATAAAGTATTAAAATTAAACTGTTAAGTAAAATTGAATCTCAAAGCTTAAAAAGAGCAAATGCTTCTCTTATTTAGGTAATAAATAAGAGCAAAAGTGAAATACAGAACAGCTACACAGAAGGCAGGTTTATAGCACTGAGCACTGTGACACACCCTGACTTTTTATATTAGAAACTGATACATATTTTTTAATAAATTTATTTTTTATTGGTGTTCAATTTGCCAAAATATAGGATAACACCCAGTGCTCATCCCATCAAGTGCCTCCCTCAGCGCCTGTCACCCAGTCACCCCCACCCCCCGCCCACCTCTCTTTCCACCACCCCTAGTTCGAGAAACTGATACATATTAACTGAGTTATAATAAGTATAATATGTTCACAAGAGTGCAGGTACATATTAAGGACTATATAAACACTACTATTATTATAGTGTCCTTTCATTAGAATGTAAGTAAGCTCAATGAGGGCAGGGATTTCTTCCCCCGTTTTGGTCACTCATGTATCCTATACTCTTAGAGCAGTGTGTGACAGACACTCAAACACCTTTGTTGAATGATGAATAAATAAATGAACAAATTAAAAAATCCTCTTTCCAGAGACATGCTCTTCAATGGCTAATGAAGCACACTATTCTGTATGTTTAAAATAATCTACTAAAAATTGTTTGACTACATAATGTCTTAGAGATAATAAAGCAGAAATAATTTTCCTCCTACCTTGGACACAGCTAAATATTTTTATATTTTTCAAGAAGCAACTCTTGTTCAATTTACATGTACCCAAATACTAACATACTTACCTAATGATAAAATATGTACTGGCATGAGTCAAATGATGTTTCATTTTGACTACTGTGGCTTCCAGCTACATGGTACTCATGAGCAACTATATAAATATTTTAGCTATATGAAAGAAAATGTCTTTATTTTTCTTACCTGAAGGAACATAGAATGAATCCCCAGCTGTTATTATATAAGATGTTTCATGCAAGGTACATAAAAGGTCACCAAAGTTAACATAAAAAACCTGTAAAATTAAAAATTAAAATCTCATTTCAAATTGAACCGCCAAAACACACTACAATGAAGCTTATAGGAAATGTGGTAAGCAGAATAACAGCCCTCCAAAGATGTCTATGCTCTAATCTCCAGAACTTGTTCCGTTACATGGCAAAAGGGACTTTGAGATTGAGAAATAGGTTGGTCTGGATTAACTAGTCTGGCCTATTCTAATCACACAAACCCTTAAAACTGGAGAATTTCTCTTGGAAGCAGAAGAGAGATGAGGCAGAGGAAAAGCCAGAGACATTTAAAGTATGAAAAGGACACACTGTTGCTGTTGCCGGCACTGAAGATAAGAGGGCCATGAGCCAAGAAATACAGACTATTTCTAGAAGCTAAGAATGATACTCTAGCCAACAGCCAACAAGGAAATGGGAGCCTAAGTCCTACAATATGGAACTGAATTCTGTCAACAACCCAAATAAACCTGAAAGCAGAAGAGTCTCCAGAGAATACAGAGCTCCCAACATCTTGATTCCAGTCTTGTGATACTCTAAACAGAATACTCAGCCAAGATAATCAGGATTCTAATCAATAGAACTATGAGATAATAAATAAATGGATATTGTTTTCAGTCACTGAATTTATAGCAATTTGTTAAAACAGCAACAGAAAACTAATCCAGGAAGAAATTGCTTTTGTTCTTATTATTTACCAGCTTATGAAAATTCAGTACTATAAATAATATCACTTAGCTATTCTCCAAAAATAGTTAGGTTTTATATACACCTCTTTAAAAGGTTACATACTTAGGACATGTAATTCAATCTGAAAGACCAGAGAGAACAAAAAGCAAAACTAATAAATGATATATTTAAACAAGCATCAACATTAAGAAAGTAAAAGAGGATAATCTAACTCTCAACCATAAAGGCTTCCATATTCATATTCATGGCAAATTTTACATTTTATACATAGGTAGCATCCTGGTAATGATCTGGTTTTGAGCAACTAAAAAACTAAAGCCTTCAAACATTCAAATTCAAATTTTGAGATTCAGCCATCAAGAATATTTTGCCTCAGAGAATTACTCCCCCTTTTTTTTCTTTCTTAACACTTTGTAAATTGAGCCTAAAATACCAGGAAAATAGCAGATAACACTTATATAGCACTTACTCTTTGCCAGCCAGGATTCTGAACATTTAATTCGCATTTACTTAATATATGTAAGTAGAAACAGGTACTATTTTAATAGCTTTATACAATGAAGAAAATGAGGCAACAGAGAGGTGTAATTTTCCAAAATTCACAATGTAAATGGCAGAAATGAGATTTGAACTCAGACACTTTGATTCCAGAATTCATGCTCTTAACCACTATGATATGCTAACTCCCTAAATAGGAAAAAAGCCCTCAGATGATTCCAAAGATACTCTGTAATTTAACAAAACAAAAAATATTACATCTAAAAAATTTTTGCCTCAATTTAAAAGACAAAAAGGTAACAAACCCAGGAAGGAAAGCATGTATTTCTAATGTTTTTTTTTTTTTTGTTTAAAAGTTTTTGTCTATTCAATTTAGCTAAGTATACCTCTCTCCACTTCTGCAAACATTTTAGTAGGAAGGCTTCGGATATACAAAAAAATAGAATGATGAATTCCCATGAATATCTAATACCAACAATCTTCCCTGTTCCATCTCTTTACTTCCCCCATTCCGTATTACTTTGCAAATATATACCCCAGCATCATAAATCATCCGTAAATATTTCAGTGTGTACTAAAAAAAAATCAAGGTGTTTTTTAATTTTAGTTTTTTTAATTTTAATTTTTTTTAGTAATTTCCATACTCTGTATGTGGCTTGAACCCACACCCCAAGATCAAGAATCACATGCTCTACCAACAGAACCAGTCAGGCACCCCACCCCTCAAGGTCCTTTTTAAAAACATGACAACAGTGTTATCACACTTAAACATAAATGAATATTTAATATCAACTACCCAGTCAGTACTAAAATTTCCAATTGTCTCTTAAATGTATTTTTAAGAGTTCGTCCTCTTAAATTGCTTAATCTATAGTGGATCTCAATTTGGGGGTAATATCTCAATTTCAGGAGGTAAGAGGCAATGTCTGGGGACATTTCTCATTCTTAAAACTAGAGGAGAACTACTAGAATCTAGTTGGTAGAGGCCAGGGATGCTACAAACATCTCACAATGCACAGGAAGCCCCTCTACAACATGGCGTTATTCAGTCTAAAATGTCAATAAGTGCCATGGTTGAGAAACATTGATCTAGAGGTTCTACTTGGTTCTTTTTTTATTCCCTTCAACTTATTTATTCAAGAAATCAAGCAGCAAAGTTTGCTGTAAAAATCTTTGCACAACTGAATTTTGCTGATTACAACCCCAGGGTGTCATCTGAAAGGTCATCGATTCTTTATTTCCTATAAATTGGTAGTTAGATATTAGAGTCTTTACCAAATTCCGATATTTTTGTTTTTGTTTTAGGGGGTTTTTTTCTGGTTTGTTTTTTGTTTGTGTGCTTTGCTTTCCTTTAAGGAGATGGAAGAGGCAAGACTACTTCATAAACAGTATTGTATTCTTCCATCAAGAGGCACATAATGAAGGTCTGGTTGTCTTCTTTTTAGATGTTAGCAGACACTGATGCTTAATGCCTACATAGATCCAACAATTTATCAGGAATTGCAAAATGGTGATATTATATTCTAACATTCCTTTTTCATTTATTAATTGGAATGTTTCTTTTTTTTTTTTTTAAGATTTTACTTATTTATTCATGACAGAGAGAGAGAGAGGCAGAAACACAGGCAGAGGGAGAAGCAGGCACCATGCAGGGAGCCTGATGTGGGACCTGAACCGGGGTTTCCAGGATCACACCCCGCGTGGCGCTAAACCGCTGGGCCACCGGGGCTGACCTAATTGGAATATTTCTAACAAGAACAAAGTTCACCTCATTTTTATTTGGTTATATAAAGTACAGTCTACAGGAAAATGGTAGAATAAATATTTGATTATATTTCCCTTTATTTACCATATTCATTGTCAAAATGAGTTAGCCTCCTAGAATTCTCTAAAAGTGGTGAATTAGTTTTTCTTTTTGTAGTAGTCTTCAAATTCATATATTTAGATATTATGGATATGTAGCAATCCACAAGTTATTTTTATTGATTCCAAGTTTTCACATCTTTGTCCAGTGAGAGCATCTTCAAGTTGGATCCTGAGACTCTATGACCCAATTCTAATGGTCTTTGATAAGTCTGCTAGCAGTCATGATAAAAACATTTCAAGCTCAGGGGCACCTGGGGAGCCCAGTCAAGTAGGCCTCTGACTCTTTGGGTTTCAGCTCAGGTCACAATCTCAGGTTAATGGGATTAAGCCCTGCGTCATGCTCCACACTCAGCACAGAGCCTGCTTGAGACTCTCTCTCTCCCTCTGCCCTTCCTCCCCCCCTAAGTTCTCTAAAATAAAAAAATAAATCTTAAAAAAAAAAAAAAAATCGAGCTCAGCTCCAGGCTTGCATTTAGTTCTCTAAGGAACTCTGGTTCCTTTAAGTGTTTTTGCTCTCACTTTTTTGTTTTTTAGTTCTGGTACATTTACTGTCTAATTTTTCAAATACCTCCACCACTTTCCTTATTTGTGTTTTTTCCTTTCTTCTCCTGTTTTTTTTCTGTTCTCCACATCACTACACTTTGATATTTTCCATTTCCTAATCTCTACTTGTCTTTTTGGAGAGCTCCACAACCAACTTCCATAGTTATTAATCTGTTATTCTTCTGTGGTGATTTTAACAAATCTACTACTGCTATTATCTCTCTCATACACACTCTTTCACACTGAGTTTGAAGGAAAGAGTTAATGGCCTATGCTTGTTCTCCATCTAGTCCCTTTTGTTTCTCAAAAGCATATATTTAAAAATGTGCTTCATGTTTAAAAAGATACCATTATTAAAACAAAACATTTTAATTCTGATTTTCATTATAAAAAGTTAAAAACAATATTTAGAAGAAATAAAAATCAACTATAATCACCTAATAATATGTTATTTTTCTACAGTTCCTTCCATTATCATTTTTAAATTCTAATCAAAACAAAATAGAGAATTCTCTATTTTCTGTAAGTTTTAAATACTTATCTTAAAGGTCTTCTTATATGGCTAGTCTTCAAAAACAATATGCTTAAACTGGTATAAAAATACTTATTACAGTACCTGGAACATCTAAGTGCTATATAACTAGTTATTATCATGTAATGACTTGTCAAAATATAAAATATAACCATTTCTTCCTGCAACACTTTTCGATGGTTTCTAATTTTTGTCAATGTTATAATAAATACCTATATATGTCCAGCTTCCCTAACCTTTATATTATTTTTCTAGGAAAATACTCTGAAATGAGATTCATAGATCAAAGGATACAAATATTCTTCCAATAATTTCTACTAGCTTAGTAAATACAAAATATGTTTGTTTTTAATGCGGATTCCTTTGAATAGTAGCCCGGTTAAATACTTTCAAACATCTACTGTTCAAATTTTCTTTTGTATAATAAAAGCATTACAATTTAATGGGTAACCTGCATTATTTCAATGATATTTCATAATGTTTATCTTACTAATTGTTCCTTAACAATTATGCAGAAGTCATTACTTTGGTTAGTTAAATGTGTTATTTTTACTCTTTTAATAGCACCTGGAGATCTATATCACTTAAGATTGGATTAAAGCATATTTTAAAGTATTTTAAATCCAGACTCTAGATATACTAATGTATTAATGAATTATTCACTGACTTTCATGTGTACCTTCTTTTCTTGCCTCAATTTGCCCTTCTTTGTTAATATAACTCAAGGACCTTGATGTTTTCTTCTTTTCTTTCTTGAGTTTACTTTCATTTTATCAGTAAAATAATTGTTTTGAATGTAAAAATTCCAATAATCCATTATATCACAGGTTCCTGAAATGCTGCTTACTAAAAAAATGTACCTTAGACTCAATATTTTTAAATAGTAAATATTTTTAAAATTTGATTTTCAAATACTGTAATGTACAAGTTTACCATATATATCTCTAACATCAATGGTGTGTATCTCCAATAAGAAAGACGGACTCACCTTAAACCTCATTATAATTTCAGCCAGTAATACTGCCACATATAGTAATACATTATTTAGTACTTATTGAAGTAACTAGTAGCTCCTGGTCCTCAGTTTACTGCTAATCACCTGATTTTGAAGAAGACTTTTAAAACCTCATTATTGCTAAGAGGCATGACCAGTGAAATGAAATTTAGATTTAATTTTCATCAGCTCTAATGATTTATTTGCAAACCTATATTCTACAGTTATTTTAAAAACATTCCTTAAACATGAATTTCAAATCACACTGCTATGCACAGAACAGGTACTTTTAAATAACCACTGGCTGATGGACTCTAAACAGATTTAACAAAAAAATTCTCTATGCACTACAATAGTATCATTTCTGAGAAAACAGCATTTTTAATGCCTCACCAAGTCTAATAAATCAGAGTTATAACAACAGAGAAACAAACTATGGAGAAATACACTCACCAATATATCTGAGCCAACATGCTGCTTTCCCTTTTCTTGATGTGGTCCTAATATCAATTTTCCAGTAGAAAAAAGAGGTGTATCCAGTGTTTTATATACTTTCAACTCATCATGCTCAACAAAAAATTGATATGTATCTCGTGGTCTTAAAAGATCTAAAGGAAAAACACTAGTATAAATATAAAGCAATAGAGTAATATGCTCAATGATATAACATATAAACACATATACAACACAACTATTCCTAGATATAAACCTGCCTTACAAAGACAGAAATGATTAAGGTCATTTACTCGAGCTAGAATGATAGATGTCAAATTTTGTCTGTCTCTCAAGCTATGCAACCAAGCAAGGCACTTCTCTTTCTATGCCTCTGTCTCCTTTTCTATAAAATGGGACAATAGTTCATCCACTTAGAGTTGTGAATATCAAATAAATTAATGTGCATAAAGTATTAATGTCTGGCACAAAATAAGCATTAGGTAGGTCTTAGCTATTAGTAATAATGGCATGCAGAAGAATGAAACTAGACCATTCTCTTACACCATACACACAAAGAGAAACTCAAAATGGATGAAAGATCTAAATGGGAGACAAGAATCCATCAAAATCCTAGAGAACACAGGCAACCACCATTCTGAACTTGGGCACAGCAATTTCTTGCAAGATACATCTCTGAAGGCAACGGAAACAAAAGCAAAAAAATGAACTACTGGGACTTAACCAGGATAAAAAGCTTCTGCAAAGCAAAAGAAACAGTCAACAAAACTAAGACAACCTACAGAATGGGAGAAGATATTTGCAAATGACCTATCAGATAAAGGGCTAGTATCCAAGATCTATAGAGAACTTAATCCAACTCAACACCCAAGAAACAAACAATCCAATCATGAAATGGGCCGAAGACATGAACAGAAAGTTCACCAAAGAAGACATACACATGGCCAACAAGCACATGAGAAACAAAGTGCTCCACATCACTTGCCATCAGGGAAATACAAATCAAAAGCATGATGAGATGATGAGATACTACCTCACACCAGTGAGAATGGGGAAAATTAACAAGACATGAAACAACAAATGTTGGAGAGGATGTGGAGAAAGGGGAACCCTCTTGCACTGTTGCTGAATATGCAAACTGGTACAGTTACTTGGAAAACTGTGTGGAGGTTCCTCAAAGAGTTAAAAATAGAACTACCCTACGACCCAGCAACTGCACTGCTGGGGATTTACCCCAAAGATACAGATGCAGTGAAAAGCCGAGACACCTGCACCCCAATGTTCATTAGCCAAACTGTGGAAGGAGCCTCAATGTCCTTCAACAGATGAATGGATAAAGAAAATGTGGTATATACAATGGAATATTCCTCGGCCATTAGAAGCAACAAATATGCACCATTTGCTTTGACATGGATGGAACTGGAGGGTATTATGCTGAGTGAAGTTAAGTCAATCAGAGAAGAACAATCATCATTTGGTTTCACTCATACGAAGAATATAAGAAATAATGAAAGGGACTGTAAGGGAAAGGAGGGGAACTGAGTGGGAAAAATTAGAGAGGGAGACAAACCATGAGAGACTCCTAACTCTGGGAAACAAACAAAGAGATGTGGAAGGGGAGGTAGGTTGGAAGGGTTGGGGTAACTGGGTGACAGGCACTGAGGAGGATACTTCATGGGATGAGCACTGGGTGTAATACTATTATGTTGGCAAATAGAATTTAAATTAAAAAATTATTAAAAATAATAATGGCAGTATTATTATTTCCATTTTAGCTCAGAAAACAAAATTAGCTACAAAACAAGAATTCCTCATCTTTAAACAGTTTAACATAGCCTACAATTAAGACATGTATCATCATGATAATATTTTGTGCTTGCTTGACTGATTATTAAATAGCAAGATTATTTTTTAAAGATTTTCTTTATTTGACAGAGAGATAGCATGCACACATACAAGCAAGGGGCACGGCAGTGGGAGAGGGAGAAGTAGACTCTCCCCGGAGCAGGGAGCCCAAAATGGGGCTCAATCCCAGGATGCTGGGATCATGACCTGAGCTGAAGGCAGGTGCCTAACCCACTGACCCACCCAGACACCCCTAAATAGCAAGATTTTTATCAAGTTAAGCAAGAGTTCTTACTGTTGCTTACCAATCACTATCTCAATTTTGAATTTCCCTTTTACACCTCTCCAAATACAGAGTTAAAACATTCTTCTACAATCAACTTCTGTTTCCTTGGATATCTGGGAATGTTAGTAATCTCACAGATTACAGGATATAGAAAATACATAGACTCAAGAAACAGATAAAAAGTTGTGAACTCCTGGCCACACTCACAACTTTTCTAACTTGATACAATGTTTTTAGTTAAGAGCTAAGCAAAATTTTCTGTACTTCTACATCTGTTGCCAAATAAACAATCTGATCATAAAAATAACTTTACTACTTAAGATGACAAATGGAACCTATTTCAGAGCCAAAATTTTAAGTCAGAATACCATTACTGCCTCTGTAGTTTTGACCTATTTGTCATCTGACTTAACATACATAGTCCTCAGAACTCATTGGTATGGTCAAAACAGCTAAAACATTTAAATACTTCCTGTATGTAAATAGTGGCTGTTGGTAAACAGCTGTGTGTCCCCCTACTTGCCCTTACCACATTACAGCCCATCCTTTGGAACCAATCAATCATGGTCTTGGAGACAATGTATTTTTAATGCCTATTAGATAAAACTCTAGGACCCTGTGCTGGCCTTAACGTTAAGCCTGGCATTTGTGTGGAAGGTCAATGCTTTTACTTGTCATTACCCTAAAAGGTCTGATTTCCCAGGTACTATTATTGGCATACCATGGCCCAAAAGGCTGTTTAAACCTGCCCACAATCCCTGCCGGGTCTCACAGTAAGGGTATGTATTCTGTGATCTACCACCAGCTAAACTGTAATAATTACCCATAAAAAGCCCCTGTCCCAGTGGCTCAGTCGGTTAAGTGTCTACTTTGGGCTCAGGTCATGATCCCAGGGTGCTGGGATCAAGCCCTGCATTGGGCTCTCTGCTCAGCAGGGAATCTGCTTCTCTCTCTCCCTTTGCCTCTCCCCTGGCTTGTGCAGTCGTCGTCCCCCCCCCCCCCATTGCTCACTCACACTCTCTCTCAAATATATAAAATATGGAAGAAGAAAAAAAAAAAAAAAGCACCTGTCCGTATGTGACAGACATCTTGGCCAAAGAAAGCCTGGATTCTACTAGGGAAGGCAACACTCCTGATGATAGCACTTGTATCCCAGATGACAAATGCATTGTGCTTTCTGTCCCCTAGACATTGTTTGCTATCAAAGCTCCTCCAGAGTAGTCCTCACATAGGCTGCTTACTAGAATTAGGTACTTTACTGGACTTTGGGCTCTAAAAGAGCTGAGAAGAAAAAGAAAAAGCCAGCAATTTGTCCTTACTGTTAAATAAGCATTTTCATTATCCTTAATCTTACCCATGGTAATAATCTCTCTTGTTTCTGGGTCCTGGACCCTTGTTGGCTGCAACGGATCTCCCAAAGGTATATTCAGATTTACCATGAATTTCTTCTCTGCAAAAAAAGTATCACTATAATACAAACTACTTACTTAAAATTCTTGTAAATTAAAAAAAAAAAGTCTGGTATGAAACACAGCTACGGACAAGTTGTTTAAAAAAAAAAAAAACCTGCCACAGGCTAACAATCTCTTCCTATTTTCCTATGTATAAATGACCACTCTCTGATAAAAATTTAAAAACCAGAATGATTTAATGAAGAAACATACTAAACTTATTTTCTATAAACCTATTATGACAATTCTTGATATTCTTGCATCATGAAGAATGTTTTGAATATTTTCTTAGAGAGGTTTAAGTATGTAACACACTTCAAATTCATTACACTTTAAATCACACTTCAAATTCATCACACTTTAAAATTCATTAAAATGCCTATTTTAATCAGTTTGAGCAGGAGAGGTGAGCTTCAATGACAGGGAAATTTACTCATGAGGATGTGTTTTAGATTATGCTATTAATAATTTTTTAAAAGAGCAAACTCAGTTTATTTTCAGGATTTGGAAAAAAAGTGGACATTTAAAAGTGAATTCAAAACAAGAGAAAAAACAGAATATTCCAAAACCTATAGGATGCAGCAAAAGCAGATGTTAAGAGTGAAATTTATGCTTATATTAAGAAATAAATTTATGCTTATATTAAGAAATAAAGTTCAAAGAAACAATTTGACATTATACCACAACAAACTACAAAAACACCTGGCTGAAATTTAGAAGAAAAAGGAAATAACAAAAATCAGAAATAAATAAAACAGACCAGATTAATCAATAACATTGAAAGAAATGACCAGTTTTACCATTTGATTTATTTAGCCCAATGCTTGCTTACACAGTAGTGTATTATTTAATATTCACATACTAAATATTTAAAAGCTTACACTCATTTTCCAGCTTTGTCTTATTGTTGATCTTTAGCTTTATATCATTGTGATTGGAAAATATACTTAGTATGATTTCAGTCTTCTTAAATTTGAAATATTTGTTATGTTTCTTTTTATGTAGTTTATCCAGGGGGATTCTTCTTCTATGTGTACTTGAAGAAAATGTGGATTCTATTTTTCTTGGGTGGAATGTTTTACATACACTTTTTTAAAGATTTTGTTTATTCATTCATGAGTGACAGAGAGAGGCAGAGACATAGGCAGAAGGGAGAAGCAGGCTCCCCACAGTGAGCCGGATGCTGAAACTCGATCCCAGACCCCAGGATCACGCCCTGAGCCAAAAGCAGGTGGCTCAACCGCTGAGCCACCCAGACATCTCTCTATATATCTTTTAGAACCATGCATTCTGCAGTATGCTTCAACTTGAAAATGTTCTTTGTTGAAAAAAAGTAACTTTAACTGAGGGTACTCATTTAAAATAAAGCATATCAGAAGGGAGGTAGGTGGGAGGAGGGTGAGTAGTTAAGGGGATTAAGAGTATACTTAATATGATGAGCATCAATGACATTTAGTTTTTTTTTTTTTTTTTTAAAGATTGAACCCATTTATTCATGAGACACAGAGAGAGAGAAAGACAGAGGCAGAGACACAGGCAGAGGGAGAAGCAGGCTCCATGCAGGAAGCCTGATGCGGGATTCTATCCCAGGACTTTGGCATCATACCCTGAGCCAAAGGCAGACGCTCAACCACTGAGCCACCCAGGCATCCCAGTAATGACGTTTAGAATTACTGAATTACTATACTGTACATCTGAAACTAATATAACACTGTGTATTAACTATACTGGAATTAAAATAAAAAATTTAATAAAAAAAATAAAGTGAATGCACCCTAAAGTACGACTTTTAACATTTTTACAAATAAATTTCAAAATTTATAAAGAGCTACTTCTCAGAGCACTATTATTTAAAATAAAATCTAAAAGATATTTTCAGGAATAAGTTCATACTTCTTTCCTCATCATCAAGACAGATCCTTTTCCTATTAGCCATTTTGTTGACTTTTCCAATATTTCCTTTTGACTTTGTTTTACATGATACTGTGTCTGGGGATAGTATTCCACCGATAACAAATCCACCTAAAAGTTAACAACAAAAAAGGTAAAGTATTACACCTGAGAAAGTAGAAATATTGAAACAAAATTTAAATTATTATAGCACATTTCCTTTCAGACTCCAAAGAACATATTACTATTACTACATTCTACAGCTAATAACTCAAACAACACAAATACCAACCAATTCCACTTATATTTCTACTATCCAAATTCTAGATACACTGATGAAACATGATTAGAATGATCTCTGTTGCTTGAAATCAACAGTCAGGTTGAAAAACAACACAAAAGCCAGCAAGGAAATATTTATAATAATCCCCATGTGAGCTTATACAAAAGCCAGCAAGGAAATATTTATAATAAACCCCATGTGAGCTTAGTTTTTTGACTTAAATATATCATAGAAAGGAAATATCTTTCTTGCCCACTGTCTATATTTCTGTAGATAAATATGATGAGAAAATGGGGTGAGAATAGTAAAGGGGAATACTTAACCTTTGCCAGTTACTAATTTTCTTACATTCTGATCTAATGACTTATTTTGTGCAATTAACCTTGTTCAACAGTATGGAATAACACTCTATAAAGCCACACACTCACCTCAAATTGCTACCAAAGAGAGAAAAAGAGAAGCATCTCTAAAGTAATCAGAGCAATCTGTACTTGAATTTATTCTGGCCTCATTTCTGGAGGATAATGATAAAATGAGGTAATTTATATAAATATGTAAGACAGTGCTTTGTATGTAATATACATAAACTATAGCATCCTCAATATTATTTTTTACTATCAGATATTAAAGTGTAAATTGGAATTCTCACCTGATGGCCTTCCATGATAATCTATTCGTTCTCCCCGCCAATATTCCAAAGGTTTCAATCGTGTTCTCTTGGTCCTGCGAACATTTGGTGTGTTGGAAGGCAATACTGTAAAAAGATGACACAAAATTGTACACATATACACGTTTAACTGAATGTTACTCTAGTGGAAAGACTGATACTACCCTCTAGAACACTAATGCTTCTAGACAAAACAGTAGAAAAACAAAATTTTACAATGTATTTGTTCTAAGAGTTAAAGAAATACCAATCAAAAAACAAGCTGCTAGATTCACAGATTAAAAAACTTGGTAATACCCAAGGTGAATGATGTTAAAGGTACACAGAAATTCATATATATTCTAAGTAGAAAAGTAAACTGACATAAGATAATTTAGCAATAACTTGATTAAGAATTTAATATATAAGGCAGCCCGGGTGGTTAACACTTAGCGCCGCCTCCAGCCCAGGGCCTGATCCCGGAGTCCCGGGATGGAGTCCCACATTTTGTGTTTCTATGGTATCGGTTGTAACTTTTTTCATTTCTAATTTTATTTAATTGAGTTTTCTTGTTGTTTCTTGATGGGTCTGGCTAAAGGTTTTATCAACTTGTTTATCTTTTTTAAAACCAGCTCACGGTTTCATTGATTTTTTTTTTTGTTTTTTTGTTTTTTTTTTAGTCTGTATTTTCAGTGTGATCTTTATTGTTGCTTTCCTAAGATGCTTGATATGATTTTAATATTTTTGAATTTATTGAGACTTGTTTTGTGGCCTAACTTGATCTATTCTGGTGATTGTTTCATGTGTACTTGAATGTGTATTCTGCTGGTTTTAGATGGAATGTTCTGTATAAATCTATTAAATCCAGATGGTCTAATGTGTCATTCAGAGCCACTGTTTCCTTATTGATTTTCCATCTAGATGAAATATTCATTGATGCAAGATGTTGATCTCTATTGCTGTTTTTTTTAAAGGTTTTATTTATTTGAGAGAGTGAGAGTACAAGCAGGGGGAGGGGCAGAGGGAGAGCGAGAGACTCCCTGCTGCGCAGGGAGCCTGACATGGGGCTCAGTCCCAGGACCCTGGGATCATGACCCCAGCCAAAGGCAGACACTTAACCAACTCAGCCACCTAGGTGCCCCTGAAGTCTACTGCTATTTTCTTACTCTCAGTTTCTCCCTTTGTATCTGTTAATATTTACTTTATATATTTAAGTGCTCCTATGTTGGGTGCATTTGTATTTAAAACTGTTATATCCTCTTGTTGAACTGATCCCTCATAATTATGTAATTCCTTTCTCTGTCTCTTGTAGTCTTTATTTTCAAGTTATTTTTGGTTTGATGCAGTTATTGCTACCCTGGCTTTTTTTTTTTTTTTACCTCCATTTGCATGGAGTCTTTTTTGATACCAGCTTCAATTTGTATGTGTCATTAGGTATAAAATGAGTTTATTGTAGACAGCATATTGATGGGTCTTGTTTTTTATCCATGTCTTTTGATCAGAGCATTCAGTCCATTTACATATAAAGCAATTATTGATAGTTATGTACTTACTGCTCTTTTTTTCATTGTTTCTAGTTGTTTTTGTGGCCTCTGTTTTTTTTTTTCATGTGATTTGATGACTTTCTTTAGTGTTATGTTCTTTTTTATTTTTTGTTTCCATTAGAGGTTTTTTATTTATAGTATTAACATGAGGTCCATATAACATTCTATGTATATAGAAGTCTATATTAAGTTGATGGTTAAGTTCCAGTACATTTAAAAAGCACTACATTTTTGCTTCCCTTCCATGTTTATATGTATGATGTAAAATTTTGCATTTTTATTTTGTGATGATTCACATCCTTGAGTAATAATCCCCTCCTCCCCTAAGATGTATGTGGGAACTATGACTTTCTTCTCATCTGCAGAATACGGCAATAATGACAGAGAATCAGTCCTATGATCACATGATGATTATATATATATATGGCAATATATGATATTATACATATAAGACACCATCTAGCTGAAGCAGAGAGAATTTTTCCTTGTGGACTCTGAAGAGTCAAGGTGATGGAAGAGGTCATATAGCAAGGAACTGCAGGTAGCTTTTAGAAGATGATGGCCTATGGCTGAAAGCCATCAAGAAAACAGGTACCTTAGTCCCGCAATTGCAAGGAATTGAATTCTAACATCCATATCAGCTTGGAATACAATCTCACACCTCAGATGAGACCACAGCCCATGCTGACACTTGATTGAAGCCTGTGATATTCCTGAACAGAGGACCCAGCTAATGTGTGCCTGGGCTTCTGACCCACAGAAAATATGGATGATAAAGAAATATATGTTGTCTAAACCAATGAACTGTGGTAATTTAGTACACAGCAACAGAAAACAAATACACACTATTTAAATTTAACCAATATATTACAAGAATTATTCCTCACCACTGTTTCCTCTATCTGGACTCAGTTTTGATTTATATACTTGGTTAGAAAACCTCACATAAGTATTCTACGCGGAGGATATAGAGTCCACTGAATCTCTGCATTTTCTGCAAAATAAACTCACTAATTGGAAAGGAAAGTATCTCGGCTAGGTATACGATTATTGAATTGTACCACATTTCTTAAAAAGGCTATGGATGTCATTTTATCCTTCCAATTTTACATGGAATAACAGTGCTAGTCATTAAAGTTGTGCATGCAAACCATCCTTAATCTAGGGAAGTTTTCTTTAACATACCTCTTTTAACTCTTTTCTCTCCTCCACCTATTTCTCTTTTCTGGCAATCCTATTACTTGCAAGTTTTCTCAGCTGCCTACTTATTATTTCCATGGTAAACCTTTTTCCCCATTATGATTTCCAACTTTTTGTATTTTGTCTCTGAGGAATTTCTTCCATATCAACACCAGTTACTAATTCAGCTCTAAATAACAGTGATTACCTTTACATTCACTTCATCTACTTTTTAAATCAAAAGAATAGGATTTTCAGTACCAGAAAGTTTTCTATGCTGTAACTGAAATGATCTCTGAAATGATCATCTTTCTTTTATTATTAAAATTGTTAAGAACCTACTGCAAAAATTCTAGCTTACCAGCAGTTGCCTACTGTTTTTAGGCATAAGGCTTGCTTTTCCTCTCTTTAGTTGCTAAAACCCCTGCTCAGGAACATTTTTATTTGTCTGCTCACTCCTGACTAGTTATCATTCCCCTCCAAGAAAGCATTAAGTACTAAAAGTCAGAATGGTCTTTCTTCATATGGGCCCACAAAATACTGATAAGATGTGAGTTTTTGGTTAAAGCCATTTGAGGAGCTTCTCTTCTAGTGGTTCTCTTCAGGTACAAGTGCAGGAGCATTCACAACCTCAGGAATTGAGAGAAACATAAAAGGTCACTCCAATCCCACAAAGTTGAGAGGTGCCATGAATCATGACTGGCAGCTTTCTCATTGGGAACCACAGAATTTTAATTCTCCATGGCCTCTCCATGGGTTCCCAAGCTCCCATCTTTGCCTACTTATTCCAGCTACTGCTTTGTTTATAAGTAAACTGGATAAAAGCAGGAGTTTTCAGGGATATCATCTGCTTAGCAGTTATAATTTTATAGAATTCTCCACCCTAGCTTCTTAGCCTAGGTGAAATCATGCTCCTTAATACAGGAGTGAGAGGAACACAGGCTTTATAAATGAACAACAAAGAACATCACTGGCCTGTGATGACTTATGAAAGTCATGAAAACGAAATAAATAGTTTTATCTGTCAATCCAAACACATCCCCCCGCTTGAGAAAAATCAAGTCCTATTTAGTACAGAGGTTTTATAATATGAAGATATTAAAAGACAAACAGTCTTACCTAACTTGTGATGTATTTTATGTTCTGATATTATAGGAGGCAGTTTTAAACTTGAGTCACCTGCAAAATACAAATGATATATCATGGGCAAGGCTGCTAATTCCATCTTGAATTAAAGTGTGTTAGTTGGTCAATTTCAATATACGTACTTTAATTAAATTTAACCTGACAATACATGTTATTACTTCTTTTACTTTTTACTGCTGAGGAATAAAGGCTAATGAAAAACAGTGTAACATTTCTCTAGATTTTGCTACCATGTCCGTGTGCATGTCGAAAGAACCTAACACTTAAAAATAACAAAAAATAAGCAGGTTTTTCTGGATTTCAGGTGAAATAAGTCACTTGATACACGAAAATGTAGGGTGTAATAATGAATAGACATGCTAATAATGTAATATATGATCTTTCAAGTTCTAAAATAGTACAAGTATGCTAAATTTAGCAGTGTGTCAATTAGGCCAGAGTTTTCAACTTTAGTATTGTAAATAGCACCTAAAGATAGCTGCCATTGGGATGCCTGGGTGGCTCAGCGGTTGAGCGTCTGCCTTTGGCTCAGAGCATGTGATCCCAGAGTGCTGGGATCAAGTCCCACATCGGGCTCCCTGAATGGAGTCTGCTTCTCCCTCTGCCTTTGTCTCTGCCTCTCTCTCTCTCTCTCTCTCTCTGTTTCTCCTGAATGAATAAATTCTTAAAAAAGATAGCTACCATTAATTCTTTCTATCCCTATGCACAAATGTTATCATGAAACAGTCTAGTCTCCTTTCCTTTGCATCTCTGATCTGAATGACTTGCTTGACTAACAAAACACAGCAGAAATGACATTCTGGGACTTCAAAGGCTAAGTCCTAAAAAGATATGCAGGTACCACCTGGGTCTCTTGGAATTTCACTCTGGAGAAAGATAGACATCATATATGAAGACCATCCCAAAATTGCCATACTGTGAAGAAACCCAAACTAACCACAGGAGAAGGCCATGTGGAGAAAAAGATATAGTTGGTCAGCCCTCAACTGTTCCAGCCACCCCAGCTAAGTGCTAAATATGTAAGTAAAAAAGTCACCCTGGACTTCCAACCCAGTTGAGATTTCAAATGACTCCAGCCTCAGTAGCCTGCATTTAACTATAAATGAATGAGAGAGCCCAAGTGAGAACTGCCCAACTAAGCTACGTCAATCCCATAGAACAATAAAAGATAAATCAAGCTACTAAGTTCTGGGATCACATGCTCTGAGCCACATGTCACTGGAACACTTAATGTCTATGAATGACCTAAAATTTCTAATACAATTTTACATGTAATATCCATTTCCAAAAAGTAAGTCAAAGCTTTCGTTGTATTTTTAAATGAGTCTGTGATAGCAAAAGACTATTTAAAATTATTGAACTGGGGCACCTGGTTGACTGGTTCAGTCAGTTAAGCAACTAACTCTTGATTTCAGTTCAGGTCATGATCTCTAGGTCATAAGCTCAAGCCCCACGTTGGGCTCCATGCTAAGCATGGAGCCTGCTTAAGATTTTCTCTTTCTCTCTTCCTCTGCCCCTCCCCACCCCACTCGTGTATACACACACACTCTCTAAAAAAAAAAAAAAAAATTAAATGGCTGAATTAGATACTTTATAAAATTGCTGGGTAAGAAGAAACTTGAGCGATCATAAAATCCAATTTCCCTATCCAGAACAGGCAAATCTTACATAGATCTATAGAAATTAAAAGTAGATTACTGGATGCCATAGGCACACAAGGTATGAGAGGGAGGGAATAAAAGATGCCTGCTGAAGATAAAGAATATGGGGTTTCTTCTGGGGATAATAAAAATGTTCTAAAATTTATTGCGGTGATGGTTACACACCATTGAATTATATACCATAAATGGGTAAATTTTATGGTATCCGGATATCTCAACATATATCTCAAAAAAACTGTTACAAAAAAAAAAAATCTGGGGAAATAGGAAGATGGCAGGAGTGGGGGTCCTCAACTCACGTGCCCCCACCAACTCACCTAGATAACTTTCAAACCAGCCTGAACACCTACGAATTCAACCTGAGATTTAAAGAGAGAACACCAGGAACACTACAGAGAGGGGTTTTCGCTTCTAACAAGAAGCCACAGCCCCGGGAGCACGATGCCAGCAGCACAGGCCCTGGATCCCAGGGCACCGGGGGGACACAGCCAGGATCCTGTGCTCCGGACAGGCAAAGGCGGGGAGGGCCCAGGACAGCGAAGACGCTCCTGTTGCCGGGCACCCCAAGCTGTGCAGGTCAGCGCCCTCCGCATTGACCCAGGAGCACCCAGGCCAGTGTGGACTGGGAGACTGTGGTAGTTACTAGGGGAGCTGACTCCAGGGCTGGGGACCTGGCCCCCACCAGTGGTGGTGTTCCTCCTGGTGTCACCCTGTGTCTGGGGGGGGGGGAGGGGGGCACCAGGGAACAGGGGACTCACGGGGTAAACAGCTCCCACTGAACCCAGCACCAGGCGGGTAGAGGGGAGCAGCTCCCCCAGGTGCACACACCTGAGAACCAGTACAGCAGCCCCTCCCCCAGAAGACCAGCTGGAAGGACAGGGGAAGAGCAAGTTCTGGACTGAGCAGTGCGGGAAAGCTCCAGGGGAAGTCGACAGATTTACAGTATATAGAACCAGAGGGTACCCCTCCTATTTTTCTCCTCTTCCTTTTTCAAGTACAACTCGTTTTTGTGTCAGTCTGTAAATTTCCTTTTTTTTCCCCACCTTAACTACAATAGTTTAGCAACTCTTCATTTTTAAGATTCTGCCTTTCATATTTCTACAATTACAGGTCCTAGATATATTTTCCACTTCTAGATTCCCTTCAACATACTCAACTTAATTTTGGGAGACAGACAAGATATGTTTTGTTTTGTTTTTTTGTTTTCTCTGCCTCATTTTGCTCTACAATGGTGGAAGTTAATACCTTCTAAAACATGACCAGCACGCACCCAGAACCAAGTGGTGTACCGTGCTGGTTCATTCTGTAACATTCCTCATTCCCATTCTGCCCCCGTTTTATCTCATTTGTTTTGTTGGTCAAAGTGGGGGCCCTCTACAAGTATTTCTGGTTTATATGAATTTGGAACTGAGCATCTTCTAACATACAGAACTTAATATATTCAGACATAAGAGGATTACTCTCTAGAACCCCTCAGGTAGACTACATTCTCCCTCCACTACAACTTCGTCACCACCACCATCTCCCAGTCCCTCCCCCTTTTTTTCTTCTTTTTTTTTCCTCCTTTGCTTTTCTTTTTTTTCCTCTTCTTTACGATTCCTGGCCTTTTATTTTTTACTGCTTTGTTTTAAAATTTGTTTTTCACTTTAGTGGTCCTTTTGTTTTATGTCGTTCTGATCTTTGTTTTCAATTTCTGGTCTCTAACCTCAGCAGAATCATCTAGGGTGAAATTTACTTAGGTCGTGGCCAATAATCGTGACTCAGCCCACTCATACAGCCACTCTACACTGAGCAAAATGACTAAAAAGAACTCACCACAAAAGAAAGAATCAGAAACAGTACTCTCCCACAGAGTTACAGAATTTGGATTACAATTCAATGTCAGCGAATTCAGAAGCATAATTATAAACCTACTGGTAGTCTGGAAAAAAGCATAAAGGAATCAAGAGACTTCATGACTGCAGAATTTAGATCTAATCAGGCCAAAATTAAAAATCAATTAAATGAGATGCAATCCAAACTGGAGGTCCTAACGATGAGGGTTACTGAGGTAGAAGAAAGAGTGAGTGACACAGAAGACAAGTTGATGGCAAGGAAGGAAGCTGAAGAAAAAAGAGAAAAACAATTAAAAGACCATGAGGAAAGGTTAAGGGAAATAACTGATAGCCTCAAAGGAAAAATCTACGTATAATTGGGGTTCCATAGAGCACCCAGAGGGACAGAAAGTGTATTTGAACAAATCATAGCTGAGAACTTCCCTTATCTGGGGAGGGAAACAGGCATTCAGATCCAGGAGACAGAGAAGTCCCCCCCAAAATCTATGAAAACCGTTCAACACCTCGACATTTAATAGTGAAACCTGTAAATTCCAAAGATAAAAAGAAAACCCTTAAAGCAATAAGAGACAAGAAATCCCTAACTTATATGGAGAGAAATATTAGAATAACAGCAGACCTCTCCAAAGACCTGGCAGGCCAGAAAGGTCTGGCAGGATATATTCAGGGTACTAAATGAGAAGAACATGCAGCCAAGAATACTCTATCCAGCAAGGCTCTCATTCAGAATGGAGGAGAGATAAAGAGCTTTCAAGATAGGCAGAAAAAGAAAGAATATGCGACCACTGAACAACTATGCAAGAAATATTAAGGAGGACTCCGTAAAAGAAAGAGGAAGACCAAAGTAATAATCCACAAAAACAGGGACTAAATAGGTATAATGATGATACTAAATTCGTATCTTTCAATAGTAACTCTGAACGTGAATGGACTAAATGATCCCATCAAAAGATGCAGACTGGATTAAGAAGCAAGACCCATCTATTTGCTGGCTACAAGAGACTCATTTTAGACCTAAGGACACTTACAGCCTGAAAATGAAAGGTTGGAGAACCATTTACCATTCAAATGGTCCTCAAAAGAAAGCTGGGGTACCAATCCTCATATCAGATAAATTAAAGTTTATCCCAAAAACTGTAGTAAGAGATGAAGAGGGACACTATATCATACTTAAAGGATCTATCCAACAAGAGGACCTAATGGTCATGAATATCTATGTCCCTAATGTGGGAGCTGCCAAGTATATCAATCAACTAATAACCAAAGTAAAGACAGACTTAGATACTAATACACTAATAGTAGACATCAACACAGCACTTTCTGCAAATGACAGATCTTCAAAGCACAACATCTCCAAAGAAACAAGAGCTTTAAATGATACACTGGACCAGATGGATTTCATAGATATATACAGAACTTTGCATCCAAACACAACTGAAGACACATTCTTCTCAAGTGCACATGGAACTTTCTCCAGAATAGACCACATACGGCGTCACAAATCAGGTCTCAACCGAAACCAAAATATTCGGGTTGT